CAATCTCAGAGAAAAGGTAACCTGTACCTGGTCATCATGGAGGAAGGCTCCCTGCCATGATAGACTTTTAAGCCTTTTAGAGCTCAGAGAAACCACAGGATGTGGGTAGGATTCAAGACACAAGAATATTGTGTGTCCTTGGAATGTCTATTATTTTCTCCTGTGATGGCATAGCTCTCTATGTATTACTTGTTTGGTGATAATATTGAAAATAGCATATGCTACACGAATGTAATTCCAGTTTGAATTCTTCAGGAGTCAGAATTAAGAGAACAGAGAGAGGCAAACAAGGGAGTAACCTGAGTGGATAAGATCTTTCCTCGCACTCAGGACTGGACAGTGTTCCTGATTTGTAAAAGGAAAGGTGCCAGATGAAGACCACAGATTACCTTGGGAAAAAGCCTCAGGGGAGAGTGAGGTTTGAAATCCTCACTGTGAGTGAGGTTACCATCCAGGCAGTCAGGTACAGTACTTTGCTTGCAGGTTGGGCTTCACTGATAGTTCCCAATCCATCAGAGACACCTGGGAAGCATTTCTTTAAAAAGCAGATTCTTGGCTCTACCCCTGACACACTGAATCAGAATGGGGTGGGTGGATAGAGGATGGGGTGCTTAGTCTGTGCTAAGCCCAGTGTTCTGGTCACTTTTATTATTTTAGGCACTAAATTATTTTTTTAAATATATTTTTTATTGATTAAGATATTACATATGTGTCCTTATCCCTACCTTACGCTCTACCCCCACCCCCCGCTCATGCCCTCACCCGTTGTCCATGTCCATTGGTTAGGCCTATATGCTTGCATATAAGTCCTTTGGTTGATCTTTCCCTCTTCCCCGCACCCTCCCCTGCCTTCCCTCTGAGGTTTGATGGTCTGATCAATAATTCTCTGTCTCTGGATCTGTTTTTGTTCATCAGTTTATGTTGTTCATTATATTCCACAAATGATTGAGATCATATGATATTTATCTTTCTCCAACTGACTTATTTCGCTTAGCATAATGCTCTCCAGTTCCATCCATGCTGTTGCAAATG